TTAGCTGTCTCATTAAGGATTTTCGGTCTTCCCGTTCTTTTCTGTCTTCAAACCCGTCATTTCTTGACGACCATTTCACTACCCAAAGTTCAGATTTTTTCAGGTTTTTGGAAACTTCTTCAACTGACAAACCAGTAGATCTAAGTATAGACGCTTGGGCTCTCAAGTAGCTGAGTTTGTTAGCATTAACAGGGTGCATCTTCCGTGATATTCGCCAAACCGAGGTACACAATTCAGGACACAAAATACGACAAATATTTGTTGGGAAAATATAAACGCGCGTGCACACCTTTGGTGAGAAAATGCAAAAATTGAATATACCAAAAAAAAGATGGCGCAAAAAATATGTGATACTTTATCAGACTGAAATAAACAACTTTTGCATAAATGATTTGTTTCACGAGTACAATCGTAAATTACAGTACAGACTTACAAAGTAGAGGAACGAACTTTTGGGACACCCTGTACTGATCTGTTTGCCTTCTTAAGCTCGATTCGAGGTTTTCCGTACGCTTGGAAAGGCTGGAAGATCAAGTTAACAAGAACGTAGGTGAATTTTGTTCTGTATTTTTTGTCTTTTTTATAGCGCGTTAAATTACATGGATATATTTTGAATTCACTCATATGCGATGAAGTGCGATAAGAAAGCTAATTTTTGGTGTACATGGTGTATAAGATAAAATCTCTATTTACTTCTTGGGCAGGGCGCGCGTACGGGATTTTCGCACAAAGTGATGTATCAGAAATCGAACGAGCGAGCGGAGCGAGCGAGTAAGATTTCTGATACAAACAACGGGGTGTTACTAAACAGAGTAACGTAGTAACGAGTAAAGTGGAAACGAGTAACGGGATAAAAATTCGAGAGCTTAAAAATATGAATAAATAAATCTTAATGATAGAAAAAACATAGAAATGGTTGTAATATCCTAATAATCCTAATAATCCTAATTCCAATCTCGAAAAATATGTGTATTCCAAAAATTGCTTAAAACAACGACGTCAACCCCCCTACCAATCCCTCCAGCAAAGACGAAGGTATTTTCGCGCCGAAAAAGTCAACTGGCTACGGCTGTTATTTGCAACTGAATATGCCTATCCAGCAGATAGAGTAACAAAACGTTCGGTTTATCGTTCATCTTAAAACGTTACCGGCTATTTTAAAACTGCCGAGTTTCTTAACAATTGTCACAAATCACTGAATATGTACAACTCAACAAAACTGCATATATACTGGTCTTACGTCACTGTCCTTGAGTAGTACCCGAGTAGTAGCATTACTACCAACATCGACATCTGCATAAATCAAATTGATTTCCGTAATGTTAGTTTGATCCCGCGGTATAGGTTGTGCTTATTGAGATCATTAAGAAAAGAAACAGAAAGTTTGTTTTGTGACACATTCTTTTTTAAACAAGATATGGGATTACCCTAAGTTTCAAGGTTTCAGCGTGAAACGATTGTGATAAGATTAGGGAAACTACTTCTTATACCAAATGCAGGTCCCTCTTCGTAGTCGCACGATGGTAAAAAGCGTCTGCAAGTGCCATTTTAGCCCCAAGTAGGTCTTAATATAAGAGATTGATCGTCAAAGCAAGTTTAGAAGACACAATTATTCCTTTCCATAAGGAATCATAAGTGGAAGAAGACAGAAGTGGGAACAACGGCTCTTCTACGATTTCAAAATACTGTTAGTTGTTGTTATCTTAGCTCAGGCGTTTCATATAACACACCAATATCTTTTTAAATTTCGCCGCAAACGTGACTAGAAGAGGAAAAAGTCCCTGACTGAATTCAGCGCTGACAGGGGCTTAGCTGTCTTTAAGCCGTAAAGCCCGGGCTTAACAAATTAAAATTTGGGTCAAAATGAGTTCATGTAATTGCATGTTATCAGGGAGGGCTGTGACGATCATGCAAAACTGATGACACATATGTTACTAGGAAACTCTGTCGCTAGCGAACGCCATCTTAGTTTCCCAAGTAGATATGTAGGGGTCGTCTTTGCTTACTTTGATTACCTGCTAGAATCATTTGGGTTCAAGACTTCTCAATTTGGAGGATCTCAGCTCTAAAATAACATCTAGTAAACCGGCCGTTTTCTCCTGGTTTGTTCTGTTTCGTTTATATTCAGTTTTTTTCTGGAGACGCAGGACTTATTTGACTTAATGGAATTGGCTACCACTTTGAAATATTAAGTAGCCAACTAGATCCTACAAAAAAAAAGAGTTAATTTCATGCCCTGGCAGTACCTATGTTTCGGTTATTCTGCATTGATTGTTAAACGCAACTTCGAGCAAACCAATCCATTTGAATGTTCCTTTTCTTGAAAATCGATCTAAAAACTAGTATCGCTCTGCAATCCTATTTTGCCGCCAATATTCAAATTTCAGAGTCTTTATTTATAAATCCTTTTAAACCGGTAGAAACGTTCACTATAATTAAATTTTGGAAGGCAGTATTAAGTAGAATCCCGTATTTGCGAGAGGAGTTAAAAGACATTGAAAGTTGACCAGGAAAGTTAATAACCCCGGGGGTAGTAAGGGAGCAAACTGTTTCTAAGCCTTCAAGTTGGCAATCGAGTACTTGGTTAGTTGATAACGGTAATAAGGAACCAACAAAGTTCTATTATTTTGATTTACCTGGCAAAGCTATTTCTACTAAGAAATGAAATAATTGTGGCAATAAGCAAGAAAATGTGTACCTTACCTTCCTCCATTTTTGCTCCTCGGTCCCCTCGTGGCTGTGAGAAAATAACCCATTCAAACCTTTTATAAAAGTCGTGGCCAGGTGACTTTTGCGGCGCGAAAATACCGTCGTAGGCTCCTGACCTACGACTTTGTTAGAGGGAGGGGTAAGGGGGGTGGACCTCGTTGTTTTGGAATACACATATTTTTCGAGATCGGTGAAGGTCATTATTGGAATATTACAACCATTTTCATGTTTTTTCTATCATTAGGATTTATTTATATATTTTTTTAACCTCTTGAATTTTTATCCCGTTACTCGTTTTCTCGTTACTCGTTACTGCGTTACTCTGTTCACCGACAACCTTTCTCGAAATAGCTGTATACAGGAGTTTAGATCAGTCGGTGCTTGGAACGTTACTTTTTGCGCACAGTTTGCATGCCGGCTTACAAGTGGCCAAAGTGGCCGAACCAAAGAACCACTGGCCCGACCAGGGGCCTTCAAACAGAGCGGTCATTTTCTATGATCCAGGATTTTGGGCAAAGCTCAGGAGCTGCCGATTTGTCACAAGTTAGTAAAATGTTAGGGCAACTTAGGGCCCGTTTACATGGAGGTGGGGGACCCCAGGTAGGTGAGGTAACCTGCTTAGCTGGGGTAAAAAAATAACCCTCCTTTACATGCAGTCTTACAACCCCGCCATCCCGGGGTGCACTTTCTCAAGATTATCGAATGGTCGCTAAGCACGTAAACAAGAAAAATGCTGGCAAACGACTTGTTTAGGCGATTAATGCACTTCTACACTCCCTGGTTGCTCTTTCTGCAACCTTCAGTGTGATGGCTTTCTATCGTTAACTTTAATAATGATGCAAAGCCACCGCCAAAGTGAATTTTGCGCGAATTTGATGTATCACCCTGAAACGTTTACGTGGCAAAATTTGACCCCGGCTAAGAGGGTAACCTGGTCTGGTGGACCGGGCTACCCGCCTTGGCGGGTCACCCCACCTATCATGTAAGCGTGATCAAATTAAAATGAGAGATTACATGGACAGGCGGGTTACCCCATCTAAGAGAGTTATCTCACCTACCTGGGGTCCTCCACCTCCATGTAAACAGGCCCTAACAGGACAAATTTTAGCTCACTACTCTTCTTCTAAGATAAGAAATACTCATTTTAGTCTTTTTCGTCCGGTCAAGGACCACATACTGTATAATAAGGAGAGCTTCGCCTTTAGCCCTGGCTAAATCTATGTTGATACGTGTTGGTTATGTTTTTAAAACGCGTTTTTCAGCAGTGATGATTTAACCGATTTGTATGATTTTTGGCATCATGAATAAAGAATAGTGGAACTTAAAGAAAATGCTATTTATTTTGTTGTAGGTATAAACACCTTTGAGATATCGGCATATATTTAAAACTGCATTTTAACATAAAATGTAAATAACATTGGAAATCTTACGACAGATTTTTCCCTAACTTTAGCAAATAAGCCTCAGATCTCTCAAGTTTTATATCAATATGCCCATCAAATTCAGCCTACGATATGAGTCTCAAGTAGCGAAACCACCTGCAGAAATGATCAGCAAGGCCAAGCTGGACGAGGTGCTTAAATCTTTTGTAAATAAAGCGGTGGACCTGCTTATTTTCAGAACGCATGTTTGCTGGTGTTAGAGTGATTTTCAACATCATTTGGTATAATTCGTTTTCATGCATCGAAAGATACGTAGAGGAGAATTGTGATGAAATGCGTTTAGACATAAGCAGAGAGAAATTCACAAAGAAGACCTCCCAATTATGTGGAATAGTCATCAGCGACATTTTTTCTGTGGCCTGGTTAACGAGATCTCAAAGTTGCAATTTTAAAACACAGTTTCCACTGTCTACAACATGTTCCTTGGGCATTTGCGAGAAGTAGTAAGGAAGAATATCGAGGTAAACGTTCAACTGTTTAATGTGGAGGAGATGGATGCAAGAAGAAAAAAGGAAGTGAGGCATGTTGAGGGCTGGGTCATAAAAAAGACGGCAGGAGTATTTTTGCAGGACGCCAAACGGCCCCCAAACGTCGAATGACTCTGAAATTTAGAACAACGACCCTAAAGGGAACCCGATTAACTCAGTTCCTAACCCTAGTCTCTAAAATTCAGAGTCTTGCGGCGTTCGGCGGCCATTCTGCATTCTGCAAAATACCCCTGCCGTAATAAAGATCTTGCGAAAGAAAAGAAATTACGCGAAAAGCAATCTTTACATTTTCAAGAAAGTAACCATTGCATCTGTGGAAAATCAACACAAATTATGTGCAATAAAAGAGGAGAACATCATCACTCCTTTTAAGTCTTTATTCATCGGATAAAAATACACATCAGATGTTACATGGTCTACAAGGTATTTCACGACTAGACTAAGGTAGCTGCAGTAGTAGTAAGGCACTCTTGACACCCCGTCAACTCCCAGACTTAATAAATTGGGCTGATAACTGCAAATTAAAGTAATTTTCGAATTCTTGAAAACTCACTCTTTTCCTTCTCTTGGAAGTGTATCTAAAATAAGTACCATCAAGGAGTATTCTTATCCACAGTTTTTAATATGTGTCTATTATTACTGGAAGTAAGAATGTCTCTGTCCTATAGGGTGTGAAATTTTAGCACCGTTTCGCCGTGGCGACTCAAAGCTAATTCTCGTAACTTTGGCTTAGACCATGACGTCATATCTCACGACTTAATTGTATTAACTCGCGGAGTTTTATTTCCCAAATTCTAACATTTCTGACTTCACGCTCCTTTACCCTTTTGTCGATGAACCAAAGTGACAAATACTCCTTCTTTAGATCTAAGGACAAACTCGACACACAGTTGGATGTCGTCGACAGCCTGCGTTGACTGTATTTCAAAATGACGTAACACATGGGCTAGGACAAGCTTCTCTTCAAGAAAAGCCAACCGCTGACCTGTAAGAGAACAGTATTAGTTAGTAGACCATAACCACCTTTGCCGACAACTTCTCCTGAAACGGTTACACCAACGCCGACTTTACAACTCCCCATTCTCCCACCCGTCCTCTAAAACGGGACAGTGATGCGTGTGGAGGAGGAAGTCTAAAGTGTCCTCCTTCTCTTCGCCGTACCCCTCAACGAGAGACAGGGCGAAAGACTCTCTCTCTCGCCTTGCCGCCCGTTGAGGGGTGGGGCGAAGAGACGGATGAAGTATCAGTCTAGTGGGGCAGGCTAAGTATTTTTTGTATTTTTCCCCTTGCCAGTCATGCGAGGATCTCAAAGAGATATACACTTGGTATTTTAGAGCGATCGAGGTCGTACTCAGTCGTCCGGGTCGTTTGCGATCATCCAGGTAGTGTTTCCATATGATCGTCCCGATGATCTGAACATTATTTGAGACGACTGGGACGATTGCACCATCATATGGAAACCAGGCTGAAGTAAAAAGAGACTTAAAGGAGGAGAAACAGTTGTCTGGGATGAAGTGGAAGTCGGACGCGACGAACTCCTTCTTGATAAGTAGCAAAATGTATGGAACACAACGCGATGTAACAAACTTACAGTATAACCATAGACAGCGCAGACGTTTTCAATAGAAAATAGACCAGAACAACTAAATAGACAATGATGTAATGGTAAAACAACATTTCTTTGGAACTAATAAATATATTTTTGACTCCTCTTCAGTCGAATATAGTCGACTCTAGCTCAAATCCTCTTTTCTCACTCTTTGTAATGGGCTGCCTGTGTTGTTACGAAATGTTTTTTGTACTTAGTGATATCCGGGACCCATTTTATATGCAATTCGAAAACTAAGGACATGAACTGAATGACACTCGTAAATTTGCCAGAAAGACTAAAAAGCTCCCAATTACTAACCAATACAGTTCCTTGGTCCTGCAGAAAATGGAAGAAACGCAAACGGATGGCGTCCCTGAATGTTCCCCGGTAGAAAACGATCTGGATTGAAATCCAAAGGTGCTGGCCACACCTCTGGGTTTCTGTGAAGTGCGAAGGTAGATACTCCAACTGTTGTTCCCTTTGGAATAAAGTATCCACCTAAAAAATATGATGTCACTCAAGAGGGGAAATAATTTCAACTGTCAGGGAAAAAAGACATTTTGCCTCATCAAATAATTCAATGAAACAAAAGTAAACATTTACAGTCTTCACTCTTAGAATAGCCCTGTGTCATTCAAGAGTTTCAATGATTCAGGTCTACTCAATGATAATCTTCAATGATTTGCTGCTGCGGTTTTCCATTTTTAAGACGTACTACAACTTACGAACTTACCAAGTTGGCAGTCCTCACTAGTAGATCTTGAAAAGAATGGAACGGAAGGGAATAGTCGCTGAGATTCCTAAATTAAACAGGTAATTAGCGAAGTTGTAGAAAGGCAAGCCAGAAAAAATGGTAAGACATTGTTAAAAATGACTACAAAATCAGAGAATGTCTGAATGATGATGGAATGATTGTATTAGAAATTTGTCAGCCTCCTGTGGTCTTGGCAATTCATTAATCTGATATACGAGCTCTGAAATGACATGCCATTGCACTGACTAAACTAGAAATATGTGAATCGCATAGCCTCTTGAAGCAGAGGCTAAAGGCCAGAAGTAGGGAGAAAGTGAAAGAAGCCAATAGGGAAAAGAAAATAAATATTAAAACAAACAAACACACAAACAAAACCAAAAAAACAACGGAAAAAAAAAAAAGAAAAGAAATGGGACATAGCTCGGTTAGGCGAGACTTCTCTTTACCACTACACCACTAAGGATGATAACGTAAGTGAGAGGAAAAGTGTAACGTGGCTTTCTGTATCAAAGCTCTGCGATAATCCCCATCATTCATTTCTTTCTCTTTTCTGTTTACTTTGAATTTTTTGTAGCTTATTCGAACAAATTGACATTTAAGACCTTTTCTTGTACACGATTTGGTTTGGACATACTTGAACTGCCACATGTATAATGTATTTTTGTTAAAGTTTATGGTAGCATAAACTGTTGTTAATAAACCTAACTGCGGCAGGATTAGCTCAGTCGGTAGAGCGCTTGACTGCAGAGCGGGAGGTCGCGGGTTCGATTCCCGGGGCTGCACCAATACTCAGAGTCTTAAATAACTGAGAAATGAAGGTACTTCCTTTGCCCTGCAGGCGGCTGGACCTTCGCGTAGCTCGGATGACCACGTAAAATGGCGGTCCCGTCTCTATTAGACGTAAAAATATAGTGTCCCCAATTAGCACTTTCGTGCTAAATGCATTGATACTCAAATAAAGTGCATTTTTTTTGGTTTTTGTTTTTTTTTCAATGCAGCCCTATGAAAGCACACTTAAGACATACTAGCAACAATCATTTCTCTGTTCAACATTTGGATAAGCTTTTGTATTAAGTAATGGTAGATAGAGCGGTTTTCACTTGACTGTCGAAAGGGATTGGTTTTGGTTTTGGTTTTGGTTTTACTACGCCCTTTGGTTGGCTAGTGTATTTACTTTGGTTTTGGTTTTACGACAGTCAAGTGAAAACCGCTCTATTAGTTCAAAGTACAAGTAAGAACAATGAACAGTAACTAGTTGTTTGATTACAATGTATCCTTCTTCTTTGGCAAAGTCCACTGTAACTTAGCATGATATATTACAAGACTCCACAAAGGTTCCATTCATATTATCACATGCTCATCATGCACATGTGCTCTTCGTTTTGCCGTACACTGTGTTCAAAATAAAAGCGGGCAAATTTTGAACGTGTTATCTTTGCAGATTATACTACTGCAATACTTTCTACAGAGTCAAGTAAACAAAGATTGACATTTTTGCTTGATAAGCAGTTTTTCGCTTCGCTGAGCTTCGACCTCGTTTTCACGTTTTGCCCGAAAAATTAGTACGATTTCGCTTTCGCTTAACCTCCTTTTTCCCTTTTTTGAAGTAAAGATTTTTCAGTTAACCTCCGTGTCTTGGTTTTGTTTATAACCGATTTTTAGTGAAAATAATTTAATGATTAAAGATTTTTCATTTAGTATAATCTGCAAAGATAACACGTTCAAAATTTGCCCGCTTTTATTTTGAACACATAACAGTTTCTACAATATCCGATCAGAAGGCTATAGCAAACAATATCTAATCAGAAGACTATAGCAAATAGCTAATTATATAAAAATAACTTTTCTATTTATAGATTATGATCTCAACATTTTTTTGATGACGTCAACTCCAGGAAATTCTGATGTCACTTGCTCCTTGCCAGCTACAAATAAACTATGACATCATCCTATGTTAATGGATGCATGACGTCATCGGCATTAATTTAAGCTATGACATCATCCTATCTTAATGAAATGCATGACGTCATCGGCATTAATTTAAACTATGACATCATCCTATCTTAATGAGATGTACGACGCCACCGGCGTTAATGTATTCCCTCGCAAGTTAATGAAATTCCCCCGCAAAAAACCGGCGTAACCGGTGCCTTATCCACTACCGACAAAGGTAATTAGAATAAAGTAATACTATATATTATATACAAGTTTAAGATAATGTAGAAACAAGAAAATTATTATATACATTGTGTCTTCTGCAACTAGTGATAATGAAAACTAATTACAAAGGCGCAAAATTTATTATTTATTATTAATGCTCTTAATTTTTGGATTTGAAAACATGTAATGACGTCAGCAGTTCTAAGTACCTCTGGCAGCATATTCCAATATTTGCTGGTAGAGTAGCAGAGTAGCAGTATTTAGCATGACCAGAACGTATTTTAAGCAGATCATTAGTTTATTCCCCTTTATCTATATGTATCCTTAAGATTAATCATTTATATTATGGTGTTATACTTGACTAGGTCTCATTCCTTCATTAGGTTCCAGGGAAGTGAAATTGCTGTCTGGCTTCCAAATAAAAGGAGTGGCAGGGAAGTGCAACCCCTGGCTGCACTTTACCCCACAGTAAGGCTTAGTTCTTGGAGACAGGTCCGGAAAAATATCCACTCGAGGGTGTGTACCCCCGGTCCCACCTGATCTGTACTCCACCCAGGAGGGCCACCCCTCCTGGTTCCCCTTAGTTCCTGTACTGGGGGATATGGGCCTCACCCCCGGAGACTGATCAGGACTCCTGTCCTGGGTGGCTACCCCCGGTACCACTCGATCTTGTCTCCCCCCAGGAGGGCTTCTCTCCTGGTCCCCTTACCCCTAGATTTAAGCGCTTCCCTGCCAAAAGAATTTTGCTCATTACCCTTTGTGTGTTTTCTGTGTGGTACCCGACATAGAGCATTTATGCGAAAACACTGCCAATTGGAAGAGTTTATTAATTGCTTGTCTAATAGCAACAAGTTTATTCAATTATCAAATAATTTAAGTCTATGTTACCCACAATTAGCGGACCTATTCTAGTTGGGCAATAATACAATAATTGTCTCCTATAAAGTCGGGAAAAGAACGTAAGTAAAGAGAGAGCAAAAATAAAATGAAGTAATTAAAAAATAAATTAAAGGTAGCACCTATAGATACAAGGAAGGAAAACAGTTTAACAGAATAAAGAGTTGGTAATGGTAATGGTAACTGGTAATGGTACTCATATCAACATACACCTTCTTAGTCTCCCAAACCTTGATCAGTAATTTATGTAATTTACGCTTATTTGTTTTTGACTCTTGAGACAAAAGACTGTACCTCGTCCTCGTTGCCTCATTTCACCTAATATTTCATTAGTAAATGTCACCGCTTGAGGAGGAAAGATCTTTCAGTGAATTAAGGCTAATACACACCGGGTAGAGAGGGAATTCACAGGGAGACTTTTTAAATCTTCCAAAAATTTTGAAGTAAACGGGGGTAGCTTACCTTCAATACGCACTCCAGAAAACGAAACTCCTTTAAGTCATCTACTGTTAACACGTCTGAACGACGCTCTAGAAAACAACAGAGAGCTTAAGGGTTAACACACGTCAACCGGGAGTGAAGCCTTTTCCCTTATAATATGCCTTGAAGCTACAAAAATTTGTATTTACTCTTATTGAGACGATTTGCCCTAGAATTTGTACAAAACCACTGTCCCCGAATGGCAAAAAACAAACAAACAAACAAATAACACTTCTAATTGACGTACATCGGTTAAAAAAGTCTTTGCTTAAGCTCCCTAATTTGCTATTGTAAAAGGAACAAAAATGATATATAGTATAACCACAGCAAGACCGTTGCTTCTATAGCAAAGAAAAGAAAACGTCAAGCAAAATGTATAACATTAAATTACATTTTTTAAAATTACAATTGTAGTTCCTGAAAACGTCTGGCTTACAACAGCAATCTCGACCTCAGAGCTCTTCTGTGCATGACGGCCAGGGAGAAAGAGCTCTGGGGAACTCTGGAACCAGATTGTCTCTGATTGGTTTCAGCAAAAAAACAATAAAAGTGCGTCTGATTCATCCATTCAAGTTCGCACGGGAGCGGGTGAACGGGCAGCCTTTCTGGCGTGTGAGAAATGTTGAAGTAAACACGCCCGGCCAATTCTAGATTTCAGCGATTCCAAAACAACATTTGTTTGACTAGGCAAAATAACTGGATTCCTCAATTTCCCAATTTCCAAATAAAATACCTTAGCTGTATATCGAAAATTGAGGAAGGAAAAGATTTGAATGTGAAAAATGAAATAAAAATACCTTATTATAGGAAATTAACGCAACGCAAATTTAAGGGAAAACGACTTTCGAATAAAGAAAATTAACGCGAAAGGAGGAGGTAGAATTTCATAAAAAGGAAATTAACGCGATTATCTTGGCCGAAATCAAAGGAGAAGATATTGACGTCACTTCTGACAGCGACAACGATGAAGATGAACTCGAAATTTTGTAAATCTTCGCCTTAGCTTTTGTGAAAGGGTAAATGGGTAAATGGAAAGAAAGAAAGCTCGTAGCTAATGTTTTTTAGGTGTCAAGACTGTCTTGACAGGTTCCAAAATTGGGGTTAAAATACTGGAAATTAAGAGCGCGGAAATTAACCCTGCACTTAATTAACGTCGCGGAAATTAATGCTCAACAAAATTAACGCGACTTAAATTGAAGCTAATTTTAACGATTCGCGTTAATTTCATGGAGGTTTAATTTCCTGTAATAAGGTACACTGACATCTTTGCCAGCTATAATTTAAGAAGCATGACACATCACTGATATTTCTTCGACTTCCACGTTATCGTATTCACATGAAGTAGCCGAGTATGAATAAAAACTTTAGCTTCATGTCGTAAATTTCCCAAAAACAGACTTGCAAGAGAGAAGTAAACAGAAAAAGTAAATCGTTCCCTAAAGTTATGAGTGTACAATGCGACTAGATATTTATAGTTGTCTTCTTTTCCCAACATATCGCATTTCAAAGTAGCTTGACCGAAGCGTTTTATACTATGATTCATGAACAAACTTAAATAAAAGGAAGCTAAATTCATATTTTGGAAAGTGTTATTGGAATATCCATACGTTTATTTCAACAAGCCATTCGGGTTTCACTTACCGACTGTTAAAGTAGTCCACGGAAATATTTAATCAACTGTCAAGCATATGCAAATTTCTGTGACCGTTTAACGGTATTTTCTCAGCAGCGACCACAAGAACTTTGGATACCTGAAGATTCTTCAAGGGCTCCGTTAATTTCTTTAGCTCTAATTCCGAAGCAGCACAAAAATTTCGCGATTAAGTAGATATAAAAGAAGCAAAAAGTTTTGGTTGGATAAAAGGGCATGCGCTGTGAGGACCAAATGGCCAGATTTTGGCTACGCCGGCGCAGAGTTTACCAGAGTTTACGCGCGCATTCCCAAACCCGTAATTAAGCACTGGGTTCGAAAATGGGTTACAGCAGCCACTGCTAGAATCTTCTTTTAGGTCATGCGCAACTATGAATGGCGCGAACGCACTTTTCTATTGCGAGGTACTGTAAGGAAGCAAATGTATCGAAACTTTTGACATTTTTAAAAGTATCTTTATGTAGACGAGTCTGGACATAGCTTCCCACGACAGAGGAAGAATTTATGGGTAAAGACTATTAGTTTCTTTAATCTCCAAGGACTTAAGAAATCCCTCATCTTTGCAGCTTAGTTATTGTATAAATGATATTTTTCATTTAAACATGTACTTATTAAAAGCTCTCCTTTTTTTTTTTGTTACTAGGAAATCCTCACTGAGAAGCGTTAATTAAGTATACTTGTACTGTCTACATATCTTATTCAGCAACTATATTACAAAAGGTACGTTTCGGTTACGTTACCAAAAAAGGATTCCACCTCCTCGTATACTCTTTGCTGTATGACTGGATGACGACCAAGAAGATACAAAGCCCACGTGATACCAGCTGATGTCGTGTCATGGCCCTAAAATAATAGTGAAAAAAGCCAGCTTATCCTTAGACGTGGGGTGAGGAGTGCGTATAAGGGTATCACTGCAAACGTAAGAGTTTTCTGCGAAAACGATAATGATATTTGATATTTGTCATCACAAGCTTTTTATTTACTCCTTACACACGATTTAGCTAAGTTTGACGGCTATCGTTCCGCTGTGTTCATACCTGGTGAAACCAATTTATTAAGAAACCACGAGGTTTATTTTTATGCTATAGTTCCCTCATCTTGCAAGTAGATGAAATTCATAAAAATATTCTTATGAAAGTGATAACTTTACACCTCAAACATAAATGTGTCCACTTCTTCTCTGACTCCTTCTCGCGATATTTCGCCATTTTCATACGCCTCGAGCAGCGCATCGAGAAAGGCAAGCCGCCTTTTACTTGCTAACTCAGACTGATCATCGTCTTCGTTCTTCTTTCCTCTGTTAGACAATTTTTTAGCTGCTCGCTCGGCAATTTGCTCGTCAATGACCTAGAATTAAATACAGCGCTTCAATTCGTGTCACAAAAGTAAGGGTTATTACTTGCCACGGTTTCAAGTACATCTAGACCATCAATTACACCTTTTGCTGTTCATTATGAGAAAATACGCAATCATTTGTGTCAAAAGGCGACCAACAGCGCGAAGATACATTCATTAGCGCGAAAATACGAACATTTGCTCATAACCCAGATTCAATAACGATATTTGCATTTTAATCAACATTCAATAACACTTTTGGGCATTCATATGCGTCATTGGGCGTACAAAAGAGAGAAATATACTTTCATTAACGCCAACATCAAAGTCATTAACACCACCTTGAAAGTCAATAGAGACAACTGACATACATTAAAGTGCAAACACTATTCATTAACATTTTTATGACACTGTTTGCAATTCAACAGCATTCCTGCACAACCTTAGGATGGATACGACAAAAATTAAATTAAATGCGCTTGTACAATCTTCTTTACAGTTCTTTACATTCAATATACAAAAATCGGTTTTCAATTAAACAAAAGAAATTCAAACAAATCTGGCCTGAATTTCAGTCGTTAAATGTATATCCCTCAAAAACCTCGCTATTTAAACATTTGGGGAGGTAGGTTTGCATGAAATGGTACCCCTTAGCACATTTAGCTGCGGTCACAATGTCATGTTTCCGCGCAGAGCTTCAAACAGTGCAATTGTTGTTTCCGAACTCCGCTGGTGGGATTGCTAGGGCTTTGCCCTCATTCCTGTTATACATGTTCAAATTTCCGGACTCGAGATGTCGGCTTTTGATGTCGCTTTCAGACAACTTAAATCCTTTTCAACGATGTCAAGGGGGGAAGCATAAGCTGTGTACGTATGGGGAGGGAATGGCCAAATCTAGGTGGGCTGGCACCCCGTCATACGCAAAGACCACCGACTTATCGGGATCCATTTTTCCCTCGCACGTGCCAGAAAGTCACCGAAAAACCGACACAGTATACTTTACTCCAGCAGCTGCCAAGGAAAACATTTGATAGGTGATATTGCCATGGTCATAGTCAAGTTTCGTCCTCGTTGGCCGCACACTTGGCGGAACGCCCTCCACTCCTTGTCGCGCAAAACCGTGACTTCTGGCCGTAAAGGTAAATGTATAGCCGCAGCCGTCGACGAACACTCAGTGGTGAAGTACGGCGTGATTTTTTAAACAAATTCAGGCCAATTTTGGGGGAAATTGCTATTGTTTAATTGAAAATATATTTTTGTATATTAAATGTAAAGAACGCTCAATTGATTGTACAAGCGCATTAATGTTTGTCTTATCCATTCTAAAGCTGTCCAGGAATGCTACTGAATTGCAAACAGTGTCATAAAGATGTTAATGAATAGCATTTGCACTTAAATGTTTGTCTATTGTCCCTGATGATTTTCAAGATAATGTTAATGACTCGAATGTTGGCGTTAATGAAAGTATATTTTTCTCTTTTGTATACCCAATGACACACATGAATGCCCAAAAATTTTATTGAATGTTGATTAAAATGCAAAAATCGTTATTGAATCTGTTTTATGCGCAAATGTTCGCTTTTTCGCGCTAATGAATGTATCTTCGAGCTGTTGGTCGCCGTTTGACGCAAATGATTGCGTATTTTCTCGTAATGAACAGCAAAAGGTGTAATTATAACAAATATATTTCGATCCAAGGTAACGCGTTTGATTTTTTTCATTTTCTGTGTACACCTAATTGCAATAACTTTGTCATAGAAAAAAGCAAAAAGCAAAAAGCCAAATAGGAATTAATTAGCCATGTGATTTACATTTGCGTATTTTAATAATATAACAATTATTTAAGAAGTCAGTCACAATAACAAGAAATAATTCTGTAATTCCGCGCTGTAAGATTCCGCAGATGAAACACTGATGTGTGTAACAAAAGGGTCCTGACAAACGAAGCTTAGTTTGTGGCGCGGGAGAGGGACTGGCTGAGGAACGCCTCACCCTCTCCGCGATGGAAAGTCCTGCGTACGCCCCTGATTTGTTGCTTGAAAATTGTGATCTGATGGTGTGGTGCACTACAAACCATACGCAGACTGGCTTTTCTATTTAGCATTAAACGAAAAGACGCGTCGCGTTCCTGGAATTTACCCTAGGCTATATTTATTGAAAAAAAATGGAGCCATTTTTTCTTTAGAAGTTATCCGATGTACGTTTGTAAGTAGAGCACGTTTGAAATCCGCTAGATGAATCAGCCTCGAATTGCATTAGAATGACACCAAGAAACTGATGCAAATGATTTCTCTCATGTTACGTGATTAATATTCAGCTATAAGCGTGTGTGTTGGGAATGTTGCAAGCAATGATAATTAAATGCTAATTAATTCCTATTTGGCTTTTTGCCTTTTGCTTTTTGCTTTTTGCTTTTTTCTATGACAACCTTATTGCAAATAGGTGTATGGTAAGAATGGACCGAAATTGTGCTTGGTGCTGTTATGGAAAAGTGTCCACTGCATCTAAAACATTAAAAATGATTTACATTTTACAAAGTGGCCAGAGTTAAGCCTATGACTTTATGCCACAGATGAATTGATTTCTTTTTTCTGTGTAAAGTATATTTGAAATAGAACAAGAACTAATGTTTGGTCGGTGTTTTGGAACAATATCAAGACTATTTTAAAAACCCTGAGAAAGATTTTGATTATTTTGGTGGTGGCAGTCTTGGATTTCCTTTAAACATTCAGCCAATGATTTTCAGCCAATGTTTAAACATTCAGCCAATGATTTTCAGCCAATGTTTGGTCGGTGTTTTGGAACAATATCAAGACTATTTTAAAAACCCTGAGAAAGATTTTGATTATTTTGGTGGTGGCAGTCTTGGATTTCCTTTAAACATTCAGCCAATGATTTTGTGTCAGAACGTTTTTTCTTTCCTTTACTAAATTGTCTAAATGCACCGAGAAATAATGGTTGGTGAAGTTTTGCGGAACGGTGTCAACGGCATACATAACTTTAACAAAGATTTTGACTTTATTTGCCGGCCACTTTCCCTTTGATTTTTTCAATGGGATTAACCTGTGGTGATGTTTTGGAACGATAAGGTAATGATAAAGTGATACTTAGATATTATAAGGTGATTAGGTATGACCAGGCCCCAGTTGTTGAGAGATTGAAAAGAGGAACCCATTGGATAAATCTCTATCCAGTGCATAATACAGTTTGTTTTCCTTATACCCATCTAATACCTATCCACTATGATTTGTTCTGTGGACAGTACTACCAAACGTTTGAAAAACTGGGGCCAAGAGATAAAAAGTTTATGACTAGGTATAATATGAATAGGTGGTGATCATGAAGTGATGAACCATCCCCCGTCACTAGTTCAGCGATAACAAAAAGTCTTCTCTAAATACGGATGTACATATGGATGATTGCAAAGGCCGTCTCACTGACCCCGAAAGGAGTGATAAACACGAGGAGATACCTTGTCTGTAAAGCCATGAAGGATCTTTAAACAATTGTTAAACTCCCTTCCAGGAGGACACAGGTTAAAAATGGCATCTGGCCAAAACCAAGGTGATCGGGAACGCATTTCTAATAGCTCGCTCAGCCTAGAAACGGAAGGTTAATAGTATTAAATAAGTACATAAATTACTCGATAAAGCTATGGCTCACCCATACGTATCCGGATATAGTTGAAAACGGAGTTTTTTTCTCCGTTTTCAAAAAATAAGCGTCCACACAAAAACGCTTAAGCGATGGTACTAAGATAGCATCCCTTACAGAGCATGCGCGGTGGTAGTAAATGCATGACCTCATTGTATTCACCTGTTCACGCGTAAACGATATAATAAGCCGGAATTTTCAGAAGACTCCTCTTAAACCTCCTCTGAAACCTCCTCAAACACCTGCGTTTTTGGTGCCGTATACCGCCGTTAGAAAAAGATCTCAGCATGTCGTTAAAAACATCCGGATATGTGTAAACTGGGCCCATGACGACCGCAGCGCAGAAATCAACAACTTGACAAGAGCACTTTTTCTGACTACTTTCTCATTATGAAACAGTGTAAAATTCACATCGGTTTATACTCCATTATAGTTTTTATAATGTAACTTGGGATGAAAATTTTCTCAAAATGGTCCAAAGCTTCTTTCATTTATTCATATTTTTGGTCTATTTTATCTAAATGGCATTATTTATTTAATTATTTTCATTGTTTGTTTTCTTTCCTCCAACAGAAGCTTCATCTTGTGTAAACATATATTACCATATCAAACAAGAGGAAAAAATTATACCAGTTATGAATAATAGAGTCACGAAACAGCGAAAACTGGATAAAACGGACTCCAAATTGAGCGGACTCCCTCTTGCAATAAGCGCCGGGACGTGATGGGTGTCAGTGGGTTCCAAGCTTTTCTTCCCAGGCATTCTGTGAAACGAACCTGATCCACGTGCACACGTGCCTCTTGTAAAGGGACAGATTAGCTACAGCCCCGTCAGTGTCGAGGTAATACAGGTTTCACTTTAATACGCTACTTGCACAGTCACATGATACAGAAAACTTGCTGGTCTGCAAATGACGCAATGGGCAAGGAAAGGAGAAAGATATAACATCACATCAAAATTCTAATTTTCTATCTTTTCAAGGTCCCAACTGCGTAATTTGTGTTTTAGCAAGGTGTTGAGCTGAAAAGGGTCCATTAACTACAAAAAAAAAAAGAAACGAAAGCCTACTTGACTACTGCTTGGACATACGGTGAGTTGCTTTTCTCCTGTGCATTTGCCGATGGGCCCATAGAAGTTACTGTAAAAAAAAAAAAAAAAGTCACATCAGATATCCCTACACGGAACAAATCGGATAACTATGGAAGCATCACACTGCGTAAGCAACAGTTAATGTTACTAACAATGCATTTGCGCTGTCGAATAGTCTAAACTTTGGAAACGATTTTAGTATGTATTATTTGTGTTCTCTTTTGAAAAGATTTATGTACGCCTGGAATGTTCTTTTACTAATTTATTTTCCTAGTTTGTATTGAGTTTTCTAGGATTACATACAGTATCTCTAACGTGAACAAAATTTTTGATGACAAAACGAGTAGAAATGCAATGTTGCTCGTTTTAACACATACGTTCAAACCTCTCGTGCAACAGATTGGTAGCAAGACAAATTTGAATGTGGGTGGTAAAACGTGCAACATAGCTTTTCAACCAAGAGAGGATAAAGGGGACAGAGAAGGCATCCTCCATACACACCCTATTCCATAGGTAATTCGTCTCGAGTTATTTTTAAGACCACAGATCCCAAGGGGTATTAGACGACAGCCAATCACATAGCGCGAATGTGTTCCGCGTGGATGACCCACGCTCAGAGCCACGCGTTCTTCACGAATTGACGCAGAAAAAAATGGCGGAAGACGCGGAGAGCAATATTGCTATTCGTTTTGTCGAAGAAAACGACTAAAGAGAGATTTCTGCTAAAGCTGTGTCAGCGAAACGGAAATTAAAAAAGAATCTCCCTTCCTCTCTTGTATAGAGGTAACAGTACAGCAGGGAAATCCTTAACACAGTGAACATTCTCTCAGGATCATTTATAATTTACAGTTTGAAGAGAGCAATTTCTGGTTTGATATTTATTCTTTTATTAGTCTTTTATTATTCAACAACGTCCTATAATAATAATAATAACAATAATAATAATACTTTAATAACTTCTAGAGCGCTATTTACATTCACTGATCAACGGCGCTTAACAACTTAAAAAAACTACAATAAAATTCACATTTGTAAAACTAATTACATGTACGTGAATATTACTTGCTACTTGCTTTATTGTACAAACGACCGGTTTCAATACACCGGCGAAATTTCTCATTTTATTAAAGCACTGAGGTTAGGATAACTTCGAGTTAAACTGATTTCACGGGTTGTCAAAGAGTCGAGCGAATCCCTTTTCCCAGGTGAGCGCCGACTCATTTCGCTTCAATATTCAGAAACGCTCTCGATCTCTTTACGCTTTCATTGCGTTTTGTATGGCGTTTAGTCATGCAAAACCTCCACGAAACACCCACGCTGCGCGCGAGGTAACTTTATCCCGATTCTAAAAATAACTCGAGACGAATTACCTATGGAATAGGGTGTGTATGGGGGATGCCTTCTCTGTCCCCTCTATCCTCTCTTGTTTTCAACTCATTTTCAGCGAACTGGAATAAACGCGACGATGTTTGAATCGTCGATGCTAAAGCTTCCTATTGTTCTGATCCCGAGTCGAATTTAAGGCTATGTTCACACTATATGGAATTGCTTTTCTTGGCGCCACGAAAGACTATCCGGGATAGTGTGAACAGCCACATTCCGGGGTGGCACATGTCGTTCACACATATCCAACATCGTGCCGACGCGGTTGGTCGAGACGGTTTGGTGCAGTAATTTCCTGCCCTCACTCCTGAATATTTACTTCCTTCTCAATGGGTTTCAGTCCTCGCTCGTACTTATTTACTTCCGCGAAGGTCCGAATAGGTGTTCACACTACAGCAAAGTAATGCACAAAACCTATCCGTTACGTGACCTCCATTTTCGAGATCGGCGTGGTAGTCCAGTCAAATTGTGTTTTAGCATCAAAGTAATTGCAACAGAATTTTTTTCAACGCCATTTAATGGTTGGATGGCTATTTAACAACATACTAAAAATCCGCCAAATTGGTTCGGTGAAACATGAGAAAAATTGGCAATAAAGATTTTGAATTTCCACCTCAGGAAACCCAATTTCAGGAAGATCACAAATTCAGACAAAACATCTGATAATTGTGTTCTTTTTACCCAAGAATTTTCGATAGAACATCGCTAATGTATTTTGGATAGTTTTGTTTTAAACAAAGCCGACTAAATGTGTGACAAACACGTGGATCAGTGTTTCTTGAGAGCTTTGCACAGGTTACCCAGCCACTCGTCTGTCTTCACATTCTGTTTTCCAAGCTTTAAATTTTTTCTGTGACAGTATTTAAAATGGAAATCATTAGTCAGTCTTTGTTAACATGGTTAAAATATTAGCCATTGTTTTGTTTTGCGCAATATCAGAAATGCAGTAAGTATTTTAGCAGTTTTACAGGCTTGTAATTGTTTTTAATATCCTGCAGCATTGATTTGATTTGATATTTTGTTTTCTTCAGTCAGCTACTTAATTTGAATCCAAGCTGCAAGATACGTGCGACTAAATGTTTGCAACGGACGATAGCTTTGTATCTGTACAAACTGTTTAACCTATTCCCATCAAAATCAGGGATCCTTTTTTTTTCTCTCGACATACGCAACCTCCTTTACGATGATGACTCTGTACTTTACAATGTGAGTGAATAAATATTCTGCTAAGGACTCCGTCTATTTGTTTTTTGCTAGCAACGCTCTGCGCTTTTCATAACACATGGCCAAATCTATAGTAAAGGAAACCAAGCGCAGTGTGATTGTTCTTTTTTTAAAATCTTCTTCTCGTAGCGAGTCTCAGAGTTCAGTTTAGGGACTGTGCAATAATTATCAGGAGGGGGGGCTGAAAAACTAGAGTTATGTAGCAAAAACTTAGACAGTACTCCCCCGTCCAAAAGAAAAAAATAGTTCTAACCCCCCTCTGTTATGTTGAAAATAACGTTGCAACCCCCACCTCCCACCACACTGACTCAAAACTGGACTGAGCTGCCATCACAGCTTCAATAATGAAAAACGTTATTATGTAACATCTAGTATCGAGAAGGAGGTTGATCGCTTGATTGAAGATTTAAAAAAAGCATTTGGTAAGTACCGGGGTGCTTACCACATTGGCTCAAAATCTAAAACTTCTGAAGCCAGAAAGAGAAAGGAGCAGAGAAAGAAATCAAAGAACAGGAGATTGAACGCTTCAAATAACAGACGAAAAAGAGCTTGCATTATATTTCGATCCTTGGGAGGAGAGCCTGTTGAACTTTGTTATGAGCCAGATATATATGGAATTCAGCAAATCGATTCAGTCGATGAAGAAACATTACTTTATTCACATCAAAAAGCGACAAAGCTTGTCTACGAGATCTGTTTAATTCCCATTGTTTTATGGGGGAAGCTGAAAAACAAGTTCATGACTTTTGCTTTATATAGGATCAGCTCAATTAATTAGAAGACGGGTTAAAATTGATCAGTTGTGAATTTGCTTTTCATTTTGATGGAATATTTTCAATAATCGTTTAACAGCTGTTCGTATTGATATTTGTTACAGACTATCATGATGCCTGTATTGAGAATCTTTCATTGCGTTTAATTTTATTTACATTTCGAATAAAACTTAAGGCCCCCCCTCCGTCAAATGAGTGATTTTACTTTGAGCCCCGCCTATCTTGGCAGCAATTTTATGTAATGCCCCCCCTCTAGTTTTTCAGCCCCCCCTCCTGATAATTATTGCACAGTCCCTTAGTTTAGTGTATCTCTGTGTTCAGTTTGTATTTACTGCGACACCCCTTCATTTCTTGGTAAGATGAATAAGTAGATTAATCGCTCTGTGGTCTAAAGGCGTTTATATTCCCTCCTTGCATTTCTTTTGTGAGAACAACCCTGAACCTTGACCAGTTTTTTTCTCGTCCTTTGGCAAATGAAGACCTCTTTTTCTCAACGATCATGGGATCCTATACGTCTGAAAATAATTGCAGTGGTCAATGAAGGCTGGAAAGTACTTGACATAAGTACAAGAACATTAGTGGGCTTGGCTGACTTAGCTTCTGATGGCTCACCTCTTTTTGCGGAACCTACAGTGTTTCTCTTCGGATGAACGTTGTGTAACACTTCAACTTACTGCATGTTAAACTTCTGACTGAGTTGCGTCAATTATGCTCTGCGTGGGGAATGTCCATTACTGCATGCCATAGACTCTTAGAAGATATTTTTACAAACGCATTGTTTTGGCTAACCAGAGTTTGTGTTTCCCTTAAACAGCAGCTTCCCTATTGTACTATTTCGTTTTCTTGAAACGAACGTTTGCTGGAATCAAAGTTCTTATGCGATGAATGTTCCGTTAACCTTTATAATTTTTTTTGCGAAGGTAAGAGCACTTTTCCTTAAATGAACGCATTTCCCTCTTGTCAAAATCATACGCATTGGAGCTTAACCTGCTCAAAAACTCTGCATTGTTGTGCATCGTAAAGGATTAGTTTAACTATCCTCCCCTCCTCTCCATTCACTTTTAACAAGAAGAAAACGAAAAGCTTCAAAAAAAGTGAAACTGGTATATTTGAGGATGACGGTACGTTAACGAAAATTAATGTATAGGTAATCGTAAAAGCCAAAGCATTATCTTGCTGGATTTTTGAGAACGTACCGAACGAAAATTGCAGTCTTTTGACTAAGAAAAAGACCAAAAGCCGAAGGCAAAATGAGCCCGAAAATCCTCCTAGAAAAGAACAAGGAAAGGAAAATAGAGTGAGCGAAGAGAAAGAAAAGAGGAGCAGAAAAAGAAAAACAGTGGCTGCACTGCTAGTTTTTTTTGACTTGTGTTTGAGGTGAGAGTCCTATTTTGGCTGTAACGTTATTCAAAAATCCAGCTCTGATATATATTTTTGTGAAAGGTTTGAACCTAGGAGTCATTTCAAAAGTAGGTTGAGTTTAATCGTCCTTGTGCTTCACAGAAACATGATTTACTCTATTACTCCGTAAGCCTCCTGTTATTTTGGCGTTCCTTTAGCGAAGCATGGGCTTCCTGTGCAAAAGCCAACCGTGTTCAATATTTATCATTTTTGAAAAAAAGAAACACGTCGTTTTTATCACCGAAAACTAGGTAGCAGTTATTCTTTCTTCTTTCGCTTTTCCATAAAAGTAACAAACACTTTTTGCGAATTTTTTGTTTGAACGTATAATTTCAACTAACTTAAATGGCGTTGAAAACAATTCTGTTGCAATTAGTTTGATGTTGAGCCTCAAAAATGCCTAGATTGACTGGACTATGGTGCAGCTTTGCTCCGTCACAGAAATCGCGCCGCCACAACCGTTCAAAGCCATCAGGTGTAGTGTGAACATAGCCTTAAACTGAATGATCGATTCATTTTTTTCTGACTTTTGAAAACAAAGAAACAAACAAAAAATTTAATCACAAAACTATAAAACCGAGTTGTTAACACCCAGTGCTTTTAAAGATTGGCAAACGTCTTCGAAAATCTGGTAGAGATTCACTGCGCTTCTAGAAACAGGAAGGAGGCGATGCAGTTATTAGCCTTTAATACGTCAATATAATTACCACATATTATGTCCAGAGTCAAAAGGGCGATGTAAGGCATAATGTCGAAAGCACCTTTGTTTACCTTCTCCTGGGAAATAACAAAGTAAAAGCAACAAAGCCCGAATTTTAATTTATATTTAACACTAATTTGAATGATTGAGCATTTGAAGCCATCTTACATCACCACATGTCACGCAAATAAATGAAGAATTCAAGAAATAATAACAATAAAAACACGAACATTCTGTCTATTTTGAAGTTGTATTTGACACTGAATCGGTGTCGTATCGAACTGTACTATTGGACTGTTTGGGGGACGAAATTTGACCCAGACTCCTACCAAACCTATCTAAAAATAAATATACCTAGAGTTATGAAAACCGGGTTAGCAAACATTTTGTAATTTTTCTCAACTCCCCTGTCTAATAGCTTGTTTACTGTGTTGTTTGCTGACGTCGTTTTTTTTTCCTTTTTTTGCTTATTTTGTGGTTAGGTATTTGTGTAGATGTGGATGTAGACAGAATTACTATCTTAACCCCCCCCTTTCCCGCTCCCTGTTTTTTTTCCTTACCCACAATTCTTTGTTTAACACAAGTGACAGTTATTTGAAATCAGTGCGCGCCTAAAGCTGGTTTCGGTGCCATTTAGCAGTTTAGTTTTAGATATAGGTCACCTTGAGAAAAGTTTCCCGGAGAACATCATGTAAAGCTCTGAGATGGGGCAAAGTTATTACGATTCGCAGAGTCTGCATCGTCCAATATCGTATGATATTCTCGTTTCATTTGGCTAAACGGATCAATCACCCTGATCCGGGCTGAGACCTAAAGGTACGATATTGTTTGCTTTTCTAAGGTGACCACTAAGTCTTTGGCCTCGGGAACAGACTTTTAGGAGTCAAATGAATTAGGCAAGAGCAAAATTGCAGGTGAACTTTGACCCAGGCCAAGACTTTTTTCTGGTGTGAAAACAAGGCTAAGGTGATCCGCCGACCGTGTGACTTTACATCTGGGAACTTGAATAAGACAAGTGTAAGAGAAAAGTCCAGAGGTATTTATCTGGCAATAGGCTGAGTTTTTCCGAGTTATTCGATGATATTTCGCTCACGTTAAACGTGAGAAGATTATGTGTGGTTGTGGATAGTCCTATCGATGCGGGAAAGTGTGTGATTGTGTGATTTCCGCATGGTGTTGACAGGTATGTGATCGCGTGGTTGAACTTCGCTTTAGCCAAAATATTCTGTGCCAGCCATGAACATTGTTTCGTCGGTGTTTAGCTTAGCTGATTGTACCTTGGAAAAGCGACTCTCGACTCAAAAAAATTGGATCTAGGTCTAATTTCAACGGGCTCTAATGCCATTAAACCATAGGTCGATTTTTGCAGATAAGAAAGTGATAATTTGTGCACTACGTTTCATTCAGTTTGTCGTCTATCCACGCGGAATCCTGTTGTTTATCGAACCGGGAGAAAAGTAGTGTTTTGCTAACTATTTAAGTTGTAATGTAAGCCTTAACCAGGCACTCTTTCGCTGCAGTCCACTTACCTTAAAAATTTCTAGACTGAAATGACACCGGTTTGAAACTTCGCGAAGTCAGTTTACTGAATAAATGTTCTAAAATTTGCGTCATTTTAAATCTGGAGTCGTTGGAATGCCTCTCGGGACCATTAACTTATTGCCCGGCGTCAGATAAAGGCTTTTAATAGGTCTTTAAATGAGTTTTATTGTTTTAAATTGCCAAGTAGCAGAATGAGTTGATATTTTTGCTAACCCGGTTTTCAAAAATCCAGGTATAAATGTTAAACAGCCCCAAAGTGCAATTCGCCATAATACCGAGCCTGCGCATGCTCGTGCACAACCTCTCAATGCCGTATAGTGACTGTTAAGCAAAAGTAATAGGGAACTTAAGAACCACGACGAAGTTCACGAAGACGACGTCTGTTGACTGGGAAAGGACTGGAACGAGAACGTCAGTTTCGGCGGGAAAAAGGAAACTTAAGATGCAGTCGATCGATAGGTCGACGACGACGACACTGAATGTAAACAAACATGTAGAAGTAGTACAACTGTGATGTTCGTTCGCAACAAAGTTTTTTCGCAAAGGCGTCTTTTAAGACGATGCAAAATCTTATTTTATAAGCCGTACGTCTACTTTCTTTGACGATGAAGAATTTTTAGTGTTGTCTGACCTTTTCGAATGAAAAAATCTCTGCTTTCCGTACGAAGGTTATTCAACTTTCAACCTGAATGACATGACCGAGTCCGAGTGTCTGTCAGAGTTTAGATTTGGAAAAAGAGACATTCCGATACGATAGCTGTTTTCCATATAAAGTTCATTTCCTCTATATTAAAGATATATGATTTGCCTGACCTAAATACGTACAAATAAATTTGTCACTTACGAGTTCGCTCGCTCGGCCTGCAGAGCTCAGTGTTGTCTTATCAGAAAAAAGAAAAGATACCTGGATTTACGAGGTGAAAAAATACAAAGGCCTTGAAAAATCGCTTAAAAACAGGGAGTTATACCTGCCGAAGCTTGTGGACTGCAGGACGACGTGACTCTACTGTGTTGGCGTCGTCGACGACACCACGACGACGAAATTTGTTAACCGCGCTTGCGCAGGGCACGGTATCTCACTTCCGGTCGTCGTCGACAAATTCGTCGTCGTGGTTCTTAAGTTCCCTAATTTCTTTTCAAGGACGAAACGGACCGTTACCTGTAGGTGCGAAATCAAAATAGCGGTCTGTTCCTCGCAGACTTGAATAAAGTCGTTCAGTATACTGAAGTGGAATGTTGGCGTTATTAGCTTCCGTCGACTCCTCCACTTCTCGCCCTTGCTACCAAAGAAGACAAGTGCCGTAAACTAGGATTCTTCATCTCAGACAAGACAAAATTATTTAATTCCTAGCAACAGTGTAACGTACTGGTGATGAATTGCCGCTTGTTCTTATTTTTTTTCCATCAAATGCTTATACAACTGTTTTTACTTCGTCCTTAAGGTACAGAGTGACTGTTATCACAAAAGCTGGAAAAAAAAAAACGTTTCTTTTGAGGCTACTATGACTTATGGGAATCTTTTGAGGCTACTCGGAGAACACTCGGGAAAAAACGAAAACAAGAGAGCAACAACAAAAAAAGCAAGCAATCCAGCAAACCTTACTACTTACGGCATCACCATCTTACACTTACCCTAAGGCGTACAAGAAGGAAAGGGTATTCTTGATGTTTCTCCAAACGAATTTGAGCGAAGACCTCTCCCCACCATTTATCCCTTAGGCCCCAAGATCAAACGCCGCACATTACCTTAACCCTGCAGCCTAATGCTGATCAGCAAAATATATTACCTTATATTGAGTTATATTGCCTCCATTAGGATCCAAATAAACTCCTACCTATACATCTACCCATCTTCACGTACCTTGTCAGTAGTCCTTAGTTTGTCACAAATGTAAGGAACATTGTTATGGACAGAAAAAAAGAGAAAAAATTGATTAAGATAAATAAACTACCTGATCAAACAAAGTGATTCACGGTTACGACACGTCAAAGGCTCTTGCTTTTACGATTTTGTTTCCGAAACTCTTCTCGAAAGCGTCTATTCACTTTCCTCACGACTTTTTTTAATGACGTCGAATCAAAGCAGCAAATGATCAAATTTAAAATTTTAAAATCCGAAAAAGAGGAAACGCATCACTTCATTATGAAACCAGAAAAGCGAAGAAACGAGGCCAATCAGGCGTTGGAAAACTACACCTCAAGGAACAACGTAAAAATTATGGCCTGTTTACATGAAGGTGGGGGACCCTAGATAAGTGCGGTAACACGCCCAGGCCGCTAATCATGTTCATCTAATTGCAATAACGTTTTTCACAGGAAAATGAAAAAAGGAGAATTAAAATATCTTAATAGGAACAAATTTGGCACGTTCACGGCTTACTACTATCAGGGATCTGGTCTGACGAAAGAATGAAAAATAAAACATTTTTACAGTGACTCTTTTGTCTTTTGCATTTTTGAATGATAACGTTTAACTAAATAAAATTTAGTGTAAACAACAATTATGGTAAGCAAACGACGTGTTTTGGCGGTTAATGCTCTTCTTTTGGCTATGTTTTGCCACTCTTAATTATGCCATATGGTTGTGGTTCGAATATGACGCGAATTTGATGGAACCCGAAACTCACCCCGGCGCGCGCGTTACTCCACTTTGAAACGTTTACATGGCAAAATGTGACCCTGGATAAAAGTGTTATCCGGTCTAGCAAACCAGGCAACCCGCCTCGGCGGATCACCACACCTATCATGTTAACGTAATCAAATCAAAATGAGAGATTATATGGACAGGCGGGTTACCCCTACCTAAGTGGGCTACCTGCTTACTTCACCTACCTTGGGTTCCCCGCCTCAATGTAACAAGACCCTAAAATAAAACACGAACAGTGAAACACAAACATTGTGAGTTTTCGCAGTTTTATGAACTTGACGTTTCGTATGCTATTCAACATAAATTTTCAAAAGTGATCTTAATTGACTTATCGTTGCTACCAAATTTGCTCCTTCTCTTCTTTGCTACAGTCTGCCCTGGATGATCTAAGAAAACTTCTTCTTCAGAATGGTTACCCGAAGGAATAATCAACTTCCACGTCAACGATGTGTTCGAACGAAACGGAAACAAGCGAGATCTTCCTTTCCTATGGTTCCTAAGAAGGATGTTATTATTTTGCTACCTTATTTAGGTCTTTAAAGCAACCAAATTTCTAAACGCCTAAAATCCTGTAATTACTAGTTTTATTCTTGTGTTAATTTAAGGATAATTTTTATAACACCTGTTGTATTAAATCTTTCTTTCCATATAAGGACCGCCTTAATCGCTCTCAAAAATCCAAAGTCATTTACAAAGCTTGTTAGGATTGTAATGAGTTTTTCATTGGTGAAACCAAGCGACGGCTCCATGATGGGAAGACTGAACCTTTCAAGTCCCCAACAAAAAAATGATCACCCTTCAGCTATTGCTGACCATATCTCTGCCACCGGACGTAACATTAAATGGTATCACTTTGAAATTTTAGATCTGGCAAAACAGATTACAGTACTTACCCGCTTATAAGAACCTATTTTTTCAGATTTAGCCTAAACGGGTTCTTATGTAAATGGTGTTTAGTGGAATTTTAGGCTACAGAGGGTCTTAAATAGGTTCTTATATAATGAGAAATATATTATACATCTGTAAATGGTAGAAAGGTGGAATATATATTAATTTAATGACACAGGCATGACCAATTTTAGTAGATACATTCAGTATCAAGCTAAAACTAAAAGTTCATGTATTAATATATTCCAATGAAATAGATATGTATATATATACTTCTGTCCATGTGCCTGAATAAAATGTTTTTTTTTGACAGAAGAAGTTATAACTGAAACATTTTCCATGAAATAAGAACCTGTTTCAAATTTTAGGCTAAACAGGTTCTTATGTAAATGGGGTCTAAATTGAGAATTTTAGGCTAACAGGTTCTTAAATACAGGTTCTTATAAGCGGGTAAGTACTGTATCATTGTAAGATAAAAGAAACGTTGTTTATTCAAGACCTTAAGCCAGCTTTTAATGCCAACATCAGCAGTGAAAAGCTGATGCTTTATTAGCTGTTGTCTTTTGTATTAATTACTGTTAAGAATTTTTTGAATTCTTAATCACATTTCCAGACCCCTTGTAATTTTTGAATATATAGTCTCGTCATTTTTTTTGACGGTCACTTAAGATCACTTTTGAAAATGTATCTTGAACAGCATACGAAACGTCAAGTTTATAAAAATGCGAAAACTCACAATGTTTATCATCGCTGTTTGTGTTTTATTGTTGACAGAACAAAGTCTCTGTGAAACAGACCCTAAGTCTTTGGTTTTGTGGCTGGTCAAAACAGAATAAGAGTCGATAGGGCGCACCGATTACTCTTTTTTTGCGTAGAAACGTCAGTAACTTACGAAGGAGTACTTTAACGCCGCTTACGTTTTAGCAGTTTGTCTTAACCTCATAAAACAATGCTGTGGATAAGGTCATGTGCTATTTTCAAGTGGCTTAATCGACTTAACAGGTTAATTAGTTAATTGTAGATCAGTGAATTCTTTGATGTAATAAATAGTAACAACAATTTTTTTTGCTCAAATTAAATGTGCATATGATGAAATGCGCATTACAGTATAAAACCGTAACTAACGAAAACTATAAAAGTTAAAACTACATAAATAAAAATTTATAAAATATCTATTGGATCTAATACAAAGCAAGTTTAAAAAATGTCTTTAACATTTTAAAAAGATTAAAATTTTCCTCATTACGAATATTAACGGGCGACCTGTTCCAAAGTTTCGGTGCCTGAGGTGCGGTCAGCAAGTGTGGTTTTAGTAATAACACTTGGAGCTTGGTTTTTGATTGTTTGACCACGACTAAGAAAAGTATTCATTAGTTGATTCACGTTGTCGAAGAAGTAAGGAATCCTATCATTTCTTTTACGTCAGCGTACCTGTACCGAGCCAAGGATGCAGTAGGTCGTAATCCACAGACTTAGTCGTGTGTTTTGAACTGTTGAGCAAAAGCTGAAACAAAGTTACAATAAAACCTACATTAAGCGCATCTCACATTACGGAGCTTTAGCAAAGACATTTTTGAGCGACGCACGTCAAATGAAAGTGGACTTTTTGCATTCTTGGATAGTGGTTTTACCCATATTTTAGGAAAAATCGTCACTATAAGAGTAAAGTTTCTTGGCAATACGAAATTGGTAGCCTCAAGGCATATTAAAAGGGAAAGGGCCTCCCAGTTGACGTGGTCGACGACCGTCGCTCAAAAACACCTTTTGCTTAGTCAAGCTCCCTAATAAGCTGGTACTATCGTCGGTAAGACGTCCGACTACTTCCTTTCCATGTGATTTACCGATGACAATTGTATTCACCATTTTCACATAGACCATAATGCACCTTGTTTAACCCCTTCCCCCCCCGCCTCAAATTTTTCATAATGTCTTGGATTTCTCTTGGGACGACTGTAATACCCAGGAGAAATTGGAAACAACGGTTATACAAAATTTTGGGGGTAAACAAGGTGTAGTGTGTTTGAAAAACTATCGCTTAAAAAAGCATTCAGCGACCGCCATTAAAAGATCATCAATCATCAATGGAAACAATCATTCTTGTTTTGAAACACCAGTTACAGTAAAATAACTGATGGCTTGCTCAACAGAGCAGCTATTAGTTTTAATAACTCACCATTCTTACACAGAGCCCCCCGAAAAACATACCTCGAAAAGCCCCTCCCCCTCTTACACCTTCGTAAATTGCCTCCTTTCGAATCTCTATCCCCTCAGAATTTCCGTTGGCCTCCGTGGGGAGAGTATGGGTATTTTCTGGAACTACACATAAAATGAAGGATGTGAACACAGTTTATGAACACACTATATAGAGCTTACATGGGACAATCAGAAGTGACGTTCCGTCGCAATTCTCCAAGAAAATAACGGCATTTTTTCAACGTTAATACAGTCGACCCCCTTTCACAACAGCCGGGAGACAGAGTAATTGGCGTTATTAAGAAAATAAACTGGACAACCGTCAAACAGCCACATTAACAGACTGAACAGAGGCTTCAACCAACCGTAAAACCGGCTTGGAGCACTGATATAGAGAGCGGTAAAAGGAGCGCACCGTCGAACTCAAGTTTGTTTATAGTGGGCTACCGAGTTTGTCTAGTCGAAATACTGGGCCAATAAATTTTTAACCCTTGGCTGTCCGATCAGCCTTGCCTTCAATTTGAAGTGTTACCGAGTTACGCCCCGTCCTTACCTCAGCCAATTCCGGTTTGTATATTAACACCATAGGATATGTCGGGCTAAACCAAAGACATAGAATACCCTCGTGGTTATGTCTCTGCATCCATCCAAAAACAAGCTGAAGAACAACTGTGATAAAGTGCGAGAAATGTTTTAGTATATAAACAGAAAGGAAAATAAGGAGTGTTTGCCTTTGTTAGGAAATACTGGTTATTGCTGGGGTTGGAAAGCAAAGAAAACGGGTCATTGAAACAAAAATTTACGACACCTTCCAAGCAAATTACTATATTTCGCTTTCGCTAAAAACCGAAAATCACTATAACAGTTTTTTCATTAAAGAATGCGTATCTCGCATAAACCCTCGCGAAACACGGTTTTTTAGTAGCCCCACTACGTGCAAACGGACGCAACAATTTCCATCATTGTGAAAGGTTTGAACCCAGGAGTCATTTCAAAAGTAGGTTGAGTTTGATCGTCCAGGTGAACGTAGTCCTGAATAGGACTGTTGTTGTTGACAGTGACTGACGTTTCGACAACCTGTGCGGTAGTCATCTTCAGAGTCAAAGTGAGTTGTATCACGTCAGTTGATGGTATTATACTCTGCTTATTGATCTGATTGGTCAATTATGTCGCGATGTTATTTGTCGTCTGTCAGTTAAGCCGTGATGTTATTGGCTATGAAGACTCGTAATCAGTGATTGGTGCGTTTCGATCCGTCTATTGTCACAGTTAAACCGTCGTCTATTGTTAGTCAAATTGTCAGTTCTCCAATTGTTCTCTCGTAGTTAGTTTTGCTTGATCTCGTCAATAAGTCGTTTGTACGGCGCTGGTAACTGTTGGCTACGATTCAGTGGCGTTTGTTTTAAGTTAGTAAACCAGCTTTCTAAAGTAAGACGTTGATAGTAGTCTGTACAATACGTTATACATGTCGCAGAGTCCCAGTCAATTTGATGTTTCGTCTTTAAATGGTGCTCAGCAATGTGATTGTTGACGTCACCATTCCTCGTCGCGCGTTTGTGTTCGGTCAGTCGCGTGCTTAGGTTTCTGCCGGTTTCACTGTGACAATAGACGGATCGAAAAGCACCAATCACTGATTACGAGTCTTCATAGCCAATAACATCACGGCTTAACTGACAGACGACCAATAGCATAGCGACATAATTGACCAATCAGATCAATAACCAGAGTATAATACCATCAACTGACGTGATACAACTCACTTTGACTCTGAAGATGACTACCGCACAGGTTGTCGAAACGTCAGTCACTGTCAACAACAACAGTCCTATTCAGGACTAACGTTCACCCGGACGATCAAACTCAACCTTTTGCAATTTCCATCATTGTTGGCCCTTCACACGAGTTGGTTTATCACGCGAAGTTATCGATCCGAATTGAACAAGACGGACAAAGCGCGATACACTTTGAAGCAGCGAATATTCAGTTTTTATGCGACGTTTTCGTAGCCATCGCCGACATTTTTGCGTAAGTGCTCTAATAAAACACAAAGACAACTGAAATGAAAAAAGCTCTCCCAAAAGTTAAAAGTCGCATGTTTACAGCACAGGTTGTCGAAACGTCAGTCACTGTGAACAACAACAGTCCTATTCAGGACTACGTTCACCCAGACGATCAAACTCGACCTTTAAATTTCATAAATGTTCTTGTTATTCAGTGATATGCAGTGCGTTGATTCAGTCGTTCTTATGTCACCAGGTACTTCAAATATGGAATAACGGACTCCAATCTTCTCAGTCTGGTTGAGACCAATGAGTCGTAACACACACACTGTCGCACAGCAAATGCTAATTATAAAGGTGGCGCAAGCCAGACGAAAGTAAAGCCCTTGGATATGCGGCAGAAATTGTAGCAGGAGCAGATAGTATAGTGTATAACTCAGAGGTTTTCGCAAGAGAAAAAAAAAAGCGAGGCTAATGTAAGCGGTTATTAAAATTTTCGGGTACATCCAGTTCAGTATCCAGGTGTTTGATTCCTTACCGGCGACTGGATTTAACACGAAGTCAGCATTTACCATTCCCTCGTCGCGAGAGAAGAATGCTCGTTGGAGAGAGGGCAAGGCTGAATGGAAAGGTCGGTTATGTAAGCGGTGATATGATAAATGGTTCTGATGATTGCCTATGGCTTTAGTATAAAAAGCAGTTTCAATGATACCATCATTGAGGGACACCTTGACGTCGAGAAAAAAGAAAGATATGCATGAGTAACAGAATGTAAATTTAATAGTGGGATGAAGGGTATTTAGGTAAGAGAAGAAGTCCGGCAAGTCTGCTTCCGTGCCTCTGCAAGGGAGATCGAAAAAAGTTCGAGTCATCGGGAGCTCGAAGAAAATAGCCGGAAGTAAGATAAACAAGAGGCTATCGGCGCGTACACTTGGGCGTCGTGGTATTACGCGTTTGAGATACTTTTTGTGCCAAGCACGTGTGAGTGCCGCAATGTTATTAATTGTTAAGGGTTGGTTTAAATGGGTGAAAGAGGAGACGTGGAGCAAAAGTGGAAGTTGTTTAGTATGTAAATAGCACGAATTTTTCCTCAGAATTCCTAACGTAAACTGGCTCACCGAATAGCGAACGCGCACGATTACCAAGAAATATTATGGACTGGGAGCAACCTTTCCATTTCGAGTGGCAAGCGAACGCGCGAGTGATCGGCGAACCCGTGAGGGGCGTAGGAAACAAAGAGCTCTCATGTTCTTTCCCCGCACCTTGCTCGCGCGTCTCCTTTCGCGTGCCACTCGCGCGTGGAGATCTTGCTCCTAGGCTGTTAGGTTTTCATTGTTGTGAGAGATGGTTGCATCGTCATGATAATGGCTCAGTCGATTCCAAAAGCATTTGTCAAGTGCTAACATCTCTTTTGGCTCTAGACATCTGAGTAAGAGTGGACAAAATTGCTCAAACTCTCGTCTGTAGCCAAACCCGTCAATTCCAATCACTTTTGGGAGATTTATCTCCAGTTATCGGAAGAAATCGCTTTGTTTCTAGGCAAAAAGCAACCTTCTTCTTGCTGGCCGACAAGTATCCCTGTGTTGTTTTAAAATGTTGAAAATGCTTTGCCATAATTTTGTATAATGTTAAACACCGTCATACAGTCTTGTCCACTTTCATGACCCAGACTAACTCTTACAAAAATAGAAGTCCTCTAAGAGTATATGTGGTTACTGGTGGGGAATAACAATAGAAGCGGTGAAAAAAGAGTTTTCTACTCTTTTTTTTTTTTACCCCAGCCAGGCTTCAAAAAGAGCATTACAGTCTCTTATGTTGATTAAAGATGTGCAAGGCATGGGTAAGGAGTCAATTATGTTTAGTATGAAATTGGCCAAATGTTCTTGTTTGATATTGGGGTAAAATTAGGTTAAGTGACTGTACGTTATTTATGGCTGGGGGGAGTGGTGGTATTTTTAACCAACTCAGGCATATAAAAAATGTGCCCCCCACAAAGCG